GGATGACCATTTGCAATTTCCGGCTTTCATCAGTCATTGCAAGGAGAGGTTGCACACCAACAAATCTCAACTTTGAAAAACACTCAAGTCCCAGAATCAGATTTAATCCTTCCAAGATCTTCCAAGTAAATCCTACCACATCCACACAAGCGGACAGTCTGTTCCGTTTGGAAGTTGCCACTACAAACGATTCGTGGTGATCCTCCTTGAACCTGGGGTTGGGATATAAACAGAAAACCTGATGAGTTTCCTTGCAGGCGTTGCCGAAAGGATATTTTCAGTTTTGGCGACATGATGGATATCCAGATTTTGCCCGATTAAAACCAACACTGCTCTTTTAGGATCTCATTGCCATTCCGGTGGATTCTCCGCCCGATTTGTGTTGGGTGACAATGGCCCGACCCAAAAAAAAACCAACGATCCCTCGACGACTCGACGATCGAAGCCATGATGCTGCGGGACATCCTGAAATCTCTTGGAGATTCTGGAATTTTAGAACCTGGCTGGCAGGAATTGCCATGGATTTGGATGTGCGCCCCTTAAGTCAGTACGTAGCCAATAACCATAATTTAAGGCAGTTTTATACATCGTATGCCCCAGCTATAGCGCACCTATACTAAATGGGATGCACCCTCAAAATATATGTTTCAGGATGCTCAGTGGAAGATAATCATCTGCATGATGCCAGTATAACCCCGCGTTACAACTATCAAACACAACTGGGCATTTCTCACCGGCTGTTCGTGACACGCTTAGAAACAATGCCCTTGCCTTTTGAGCATGCTCCACCTGGGCATGCTGTGCATATCAATGAAACACATTTCACCATTTATAGGCTGTGTTTGGATATATTCTTGGATATTGGTACGAGTAAATAGTTCACCAGTCATTACACTCATTAAATACCATAAATGCCCACTAATTATATCAACATTACAAAAAAACATGTGGTATCATTAGCTATCACTCATTACCATTAACGACCGTGAATAAAAGCAAATCAATGGAACTTTTCATGATCGAGATACTCAATGATTCTGATCTCATGAAAATTATCCATTATCATGGCAAGAAATGCCATGAACTATGTCAAATTGGATATATGGTTCAGTCAGCGTGGAATTTTCAGTATTCAATATATTGGGGTTTCCCAAAATGGGGGCACCCCCCAAATCACCCAAGGCATGGATGACAATTTGAGTATTGAAATCTATGGTTTTGGGGCTCACCCATTTACACATTATATCTAATAAAGTCTGATCGAAGGAAGTTTTGAGGTCAAACTTCCGACTTATGGACAGATGCAGCAACAGTGGTGAGAGCACTCAAACAAGAGAAAGGATCAGAAGAGAGGCGCACGAAAAGGTAGAAAAAGTCGCGAAACACTGTGTTGTTCCAATGTCTTGTGGCTCCGGAGGGTCGAAAGTCGAAAAGTAGGCTTGCTAAAGCGACGGGTGCGGAGCCAGCTAGCTGGGAAGATGAGAGGGGAAAAATTGCACACCGCTGTGGCGCGAAGCGCATGTCGAAGTCAAAAGGTGCAAAGCACCTGCGGAGCACTTTTGGAAGCTGAGATGTCGAAAAAGAGGTTGCATTTTGGAGCATCAGGTCGTCAGGTTTGCTAAGATGATTTCGCGTGACAGGCGCAGCACTTCGTATGACCTGGCCTCACTAATGTTGGTTCCTGATTAGTGTGTGCCCCCCCCCCCTAAACTATTTCTGGACTCTCTTTAAAGTAGAAAGTCAAAAATTTTCTTCCCAAAAGAAAAACATATCCTCAATTAAGTAAGGATTTCAATTGGCTACAATTGAAATCTAATTACTATTGTTTTTTTTTGCCGATGAAGTTGTGGTATTTGTAGTACTTGTAGTACTTGTAGTACTTGTAGTAGTACTTGTAGTACTTGTAGTAGTACTTGTAGTACTTGTAGTACATGTAGTACTTGTAGTACTTGTAGTACTTGTAGTACTTGTAGTACTTGTAGTACTTGTAGTACTTGTAGTACTTGTAGTAATTGTAGTACTTGTAGTACTTGTAGTACTTGTAGTACTTGTAGTACTTGTAGTACTTGTAGTACTTGTAGTACTTGTAGTACTTGTAGTACATGTAGTTCTTGTAGTACTTGCAGTACTTGTAGTACTTGTAGTACTTGCAGTACTTGTAGTACTTGTAGTACTTGTAGTACATGTAGTACTTGTAGTACTTGTAGTACTTGTAGTACTTGTAGTACTTGTAGTACTTGTAGTACTTGTAGTACTTGTAGTACGTGTAGTACTTGTAGTACTTGTAGTACGTGTAGTACTTGTAGTACTTGTAGTACTTGTAGTACTTGTAGTACTTGTAGTACTTGTAGTACTTGTAGTACTTGTAGTATTTGTAGTACTTGTAGTACTTGTAGTACTTGTAGCTCTGGCACAGCTTGCTGCAATAGTGAACCCAGCAAACAAACCTACTAAAGTGAAATGGGGCCTCTCCTGGTCCAGGGCCTTGGAAAATTGTGGAAAAGCTGTTCTTTAATAAGGGTTTAATAAGGGATTGGTTCTTTTGGGAAAGGCTTGGAGTTTGAATTTGGCAATTTTGGAAATGGCTTGCTTCCCTTCTGGGCTTCCAGGGGCTGCTCTGGCACAGCTTGCTGCAATAGTGAACCCAGCAAACAAACCTACTAAAGTGAAATGGTGCCTCTACTGGTCCAGGGCCTTGGAAAATTGTGGGAAAGCTGTTCTTTAATAAGGGTTTAATAAGGGATTGGTTCTTTTGGGAAAGGCTTGCAGTTTGAATTTGGCAATTTTGGAAATGGCTTGCTTCCCTTCTTCAGGGGCTGCTCTGGCACAGCTTGCTGCAATAGTGAACCCAGCAAACAAACCTACTAAAGTGAAATGGGGCCTCTACTGGTCCAGGGCCTTGGAAAATTGTGGGAAAGCTGTTCTTTAATAAGGGTTTAATAAGGGATTGGTTCTTTTGGGAAAGGCTTGCAGTTTGAATTTGGCAATTTTGGAAATGGCTTGCTTCCCTTCTTCAGGGGCTGCTCTGGCACAGCTTGCTGCAATAGTGAACCCAGCAAACAAACCTACTAAAGTGAAATGGGGCCTCTCCTGGCCCAGGGCCTTGGAAAATTGTGGAAAAGCTGTTCTTTAATAAGGGTTTAATAAGGGATTGGTTCTTTTGGGAAAGGCTTGCAGTTTGAATTTGGCAATTTTGGAAAAGGCTTGCTTCTCTTCTGGGCTTCCAGGGGCTGCTCTGGCACAGCTTGCTGCAATAGTGAACCCAGCAAACAAACTTACTAAAGTGAAATGGAGCCTCTCCTGGTCCAGGGCCTTGGAAAATTGTGGAAAAGCTGTTCTTTAATAAGGGTTTAATAAGGGATTTGTTCTTTTGGGAAAGGCTTGGGGTTTGAATTTGGCAATTTTGGAAAAGGCTTGCTTCCCTTCTGGGTTTCCAGGGGCTGCTCTGGCACAGCTTGCTGCAATAGTGAACCCAGCAAACAAACCTACTAAAGTGAAATGGGGCCTCTACTGGTCCAGGGCCTTGGAAAATTGTGGGAAAGCTGTTCTTTAATAAGGGTTTAATAAGGGATTGGTTCTTTTGGGAAAGGCTTGCACTTTGACTTTGGCAATTTTGGAAATGGCTTGCTTCCCTTCTTCAGGGGCTGCTCTGGCACAGCTTGCTGCAATAGTGAACCCAGCAAACAAACCTACTCAATTAGAGATGCATTTACAGGCTCAGATAGGAGATGAGCAAAAAATTGACTGAGCTACAGCGTTTTTGAAAAAAAAAGCCTCTCAGCAATTACAGTTTTTTTTTCAAAAAAAAGGGCTCTCCCAATTTTGTTTTGCCACAAAAGCGAACCCTCCAAACAATACATGAGTTTCAGAATAATTTGGAAAAAAATTGCCACAATAGCGACCCTAGGTACTAATCAGGACCCAACATTATTTCGTGGCAGGCGCAGTACTTTAGAGACATGGGAAAAAAAATCACAAAACGCATTGGTACGAGGCTGTCAGTTCTGCACTCAACTTTCCATTTCAACGCAGCATAGCTTCGTTTTGGAGCTGTGCGCATCATTTTTTTTGAGGAAGTCTTGCAGAATCTCGCTGAGCTGTTTCGTTTCAGAGAGATAGATGGATAGGTAGATAGACAGACCGATAGATAGACAGATAGACAGATAGACAGATCGACAAACGGACAGCTAGAAAGTTAGATTTCAACAAGTTAGAAAGTTAGATAGTTAGATACATGGTTACATGGTTAGTTGGTTAGTTAGTTTGCTAGTTAGTTTGCTAGTTAGTTGGTTGGTTGGTTAGTTAGTTAGTTAGCTAGCTAGTTAGTTAGATAATCATTGAGATAGATAGATAGATAGATAGATAGATAGGTAGATAGATAGACAGAAAGATAGAGAGAGAGAGAGAGAGGGAGAGGGAGAGGGAGAGGGAGAGGGAGAGGGAGAGAGAGACCCACAAAGAGAAGAGGAGACAGAGAGGGATAGAAAGAGAGAGAAACTCACAGCCTCAGCCGCCTTTGGGTTCATCCGTTCGCTCTGCCGTCCATGCATCAACAACTCACCACTCCTATAGCTTCTTCTCTTTGAACCTTCTGCCACCGCCTTGTGCGGTACTACTGGTATACATTTGAAGAAACCCATATATCTGGGTAAATTATAATATTTCACTAACCTGAATTAAGGCCATTTGGGGATGATTTACCTTATTAACCATGATTCCAGTGAGGGAGAACAGTGAGGTCGTTATCATTTACCCATATATATATATACATATTGATATTAAATACACATTACATTTATATACATATATAATATGATGTGAACCCTGGATTGATAAACCCCAAACGGCTGTATAATTGGGAGGGTACCATTTAAGTATTAGATGAAATGACTATCGGAGGAGTACCCCCTAATTTTCATAAACCATGGTTTAGCAAAATCCGGGGTTGACATTACAGTCAAATCAAATTCATCCCCATGATATTCCCACTGCCCATCTTTTCATCCCTTTCCCTTTGTGACACATCGGTGATCGCTCGCCTTCCGTCGCCCAGTTCTTTGGCTGGGCGCCGTCGGGTTGCCGCGCGCGACGTTCCGTTTCGCCTCGCTGGCCTCAACGTAACAGATTTGTATATAGAAGGATATATACAGCTTGAGTATTGTACAGGAATTCACTGTATAAGAATTTGAGGGGCTCGAATCCAAGGCGGGCTACATATTTTCAGGTATACCAAACACATAGTACTTTAAGAATTTGAGGGGCCCTGGAGTAGGATTGCCAAATTCTTAAATTACTGCTTATACGTGAGGTTTGCAATTCCCTTTAGCATTTCCTTTTTTTTGGCGTGACCCCTTCTATTGTCCTACGGGATGAAATTGGGCTTTGCAGAAAAACAATTTTTCAGGCTCCGATTTTTTTTTCGCGCATGTTTGGACTGCTTCCATTCCACCCAAAATCCATATGTGGGTAGGCCTGGGGACCTGAAACCTTGTTTTCCTCAATAGCTTGAAGAAAACGGAGGCCTTGCAGAAAATCAATTTTTCAAGCTCCGAAAAAGTTTTTTTTTGCGCAAGCTTGGACTGCTCACAATCGGACCTGGAACATTGTTTACCCAATACCTCGGCGAAAAAGCGCCGCACCGGGAATCGAGCCCGCGACCCCGACGCCTTAGCTCAACGCACTGCCGACTGAGCTAGGCTGTCTTTGGCCACTTCCCCAAAAATATGGGAACTGCTCTCATGACACTCAGACAAGCCCGGCTTTGCAAAAATCAAATTTTCAGGCTCTAAAATTTCATTTTTTTCCGCGTGCCTCTTGTCAAATCTGCCAACTCCACCTTGTTACCTCCTTTAAGCTTGCTCCAACTTGTGCAGATGCAGGCAATACATAACTAAGAATGCCCTAAGAATTTGAGGGACCCTCGGCCTGTTGTGGTGTAAATTTGCCTGCATTTAAAAATAAGACTTTGAGGGACCCTGGACCTCAAGCTTTCGGATTCTTAACCAGCACTCAGGCTGTATATATATATATATATACATATATCTCTCGTCACCCTTGACCCATATGCACTTTCCACTACGAGTATGTCCCCAGATGCCTCTAAAACGACGTAAAACGGAAAGAAATCTCTCCTGAAATTTCACCCGCCTGAAGCTCTGTGACCTGTGGAGCCTGAGTCGCTCCACCCAGAGGACTAAGCTCCCCAGGGATGTTTCGGAACAGCAGCGCAAGCAGGGCGCAGCTGGCGACCGCGAGCAGGCTGATCCAGCCCAGTCGACATCTGGAGGCCTAGCTGATGACTGATGGAACTATGGAAATGGCGGGTGTCCGAAAGTTAGCACAGTTGGTGAAAGTAAATATGTAAATATGCAGCGCTTATGGTGGTTGTAGGTATTGTTAGAATGGAACTTATAGGCAAATTATAACTCTGCACCTCACAAGAAATGGCTGAGCAACGGGCCCCGGAAATCATGGGTGGGGGTAGCCACGCGAAATCGCCAGGTAGATCAATGAGATATCCGTATGGAAATTCATTGGTTATAGTATTATATATATATATCAAACGTGTTTAGTAGAATATATCATATATAGTAAAGCACATACGTATGTTATAAACCGCTTACTAACTGGGATGCACATCTAAGGTTATCAGATTTTTGATGATTTTTGTGGAGCATGGGACTGGAAAACCATAAAATAATTATTTGGTCATGTGTTTTATTTTTGGTCATTTGCCCGTTTTTTGGTTGTTTTTGGTCATTCTAGATATGGTTGCTAATTTCTGCAAATTTTTTGGTCGTTTTTGGTCATTCTAGATTTGGTTGCTAATTTTCTGCTCATTTTTTGGTCGTTTTTGGGCCATTCTAGATTTGGTTGCTCATGTTCTGCTCGTTTTTTGGTCATTTTTTGCTAATGTTTTGCTCGTTTTTTGCTCGTTCCAGATTTGGTTGCTCATTTTTTGGTCGTTTTTTTTAGTCATGTTTTGGTCGTGGTTTGGTCAGTTTTTCGTCGTCTTTTGGTCATTGTTTGGTCGATTTTTGTCGTTTTTGCATACCCTTCACGAAAACGACCAAAAATTACCAAAAAAGACCAAACAATGACCAACAAAATGATCAAATCATGACCAAAAAACGACAAAAGCATGACCAACCAAATCTGGAACGAGTTGGAACATGACCAAAAAATGATCAACAAATGAGCAGACAATTAGCAACCAAATCTAGAATGACAAAAAAACGACCAAAAAATGAGCAAGGCAACTGACAAAAAAATGAGCAAATAATTCTTGTGATCTATCCCAGTCTGAGACTACAAAGATCTCACAAATCTAAGGAAATGGCCGGCAGATTGCTAATTTGATGCTTGGGTTATCCAGTTCTTGCGACAGGGATTCATGATAATTCATGACTTCATGCTTAGGTGTTGTGGGGTATGTCGCGTTTTTGTTGGCTCCGAATTTTCAACCCAGCTAGGATTCAAATCTTTAGTTCGTATTCGAAGTATTCCCCAAAGATATCTCAGATATTCCCAGTTCCATCAAGTCTTCATCCACAAAAACGAACGACTCAACGGCAAAGACAACGTGGCAACGTCGAGCCCTGGGGTGTGGATTTCACCCTACGTGGTGGATACGGTTGAAGCATCCAATTTTTATGTGGTTGCATCATCCAACATAGGGATGAAGAAAGGGGCACCAAAAAAATATGACATATGATTTCTTGGAAGATGGAAATGGTGGGTGGGAAATGGCTTGCAACGTTGATTTGGAGGCCTCAGGCATGTTTCATTGCCGGGAAATGGGCGTTTTATGTCTCCATCGACTTGGATAAATTCTGACCCAAGCTGTTCTTTTGAAGTGCTTTTGGGATGACCTTGGATCCTTCCTGGTTGGTGGTTAACCCACCCCTCTGAAAAATGATGGAGTTCGTCAGTTGGGATGATGATATTCCCAATATGATGGGAAAGTCATAAAAAGTCATGTTCCAAACCACCAACCAGCTTCCTGTCATCTATTTTACCCAGATCCATAAATTGGATCAAGGACATACTGTAGCTGATATAAAAGAACAAGACATCGATGACATCTGGATGCCAAACAGATACGATTTCCCATATTGTTCCTACTTGGACGTTACTGGCAAATGACGTAAGGATAGAGAAGCCAAATGCTGGCTATACGCTACCTTTCTGGCTCATCCAAGCTCCAAGTCGGCCCAAACCAAGCAAACTGCCCAGCCATGGGTACATCTTTATCGACAGACCAGCCATGATCTGAGACACGTAAATACTTCAATAGTTAGTTGTATCCCCATTAAAATAGTTATGACCCCATTATCCTACAGTAGTAGTTATCCACAGTTATAGTATATAATCCTTTCTACCGCAATACTGTAAACCGTTTTATTATTATAGATTATAGATCTGGACAGTTAAAAAACACATCAACAATAACCTGTTAAATAAGGCATCTTTATGGAATGATGTCCCGAATCCTACCCATCATCTATATTCATCTATGGGGTTTGGTAGAATAAATGGGATCGCTAAAACAGACCCAGAATATACTGTAATTTAACCCATCAAATATAAGGGTAATAAGGATTATGTACTATCACTGGGGATAACAACTACTGTAGTATAATGGGGTCATAGCTATTAATGATTGCTAGCTGCAAAATCTTATCCGAATCTTGGAAGTCATCAAGTCCAAGAAGTTGTGTCTGGATCTTCCACCAGCAAAAATATCACGCAGAGAGGAAAATCATCAGTTTGTATACCCTGAAAATTCTAATATGGAAACCCCAAAGAATGGCCGACAATGACATAAATTTCATATAAATCCCATACATGTGCCTGAACATGGGCTATACAGTATGTACTTCCATTTTGAATTGCCATAATGTTTTTGCTTCTTTCAAACCAATGGATGGAATGGCTGTTGCTGATTTCGAAACCACAGTTACATTCGGAATATCCGCTACCCATACATATCTGGATGGATCATAATGACTCACTGTGACGTCACTGGAATGATGGTTACTGCATTATTATGATTCAGCTAGAATACATACATTTCCTTTATAGTAAAGTCTGACTCCTTCACCAGATTACCCCCCAGATTGTAGCGATAACCCACAATTAGCCCGAATTCTGGGTACGGGATGCACATACAAGGTGGTGCCCCCCAGTGATGTTTGTTGGTTTATAACCCCCATTAAGCATAGGTATACCTACCATAAACCCAAGCTATTGGAGTTATAAACCAACTTTGCTAACTACTATGGGGCACCAACTTGTAGGTTACAAACCACTTACATTAACTGGGACATGTGGCGATTTTTGAGGGGCCACTCGTGGGTCGGTCCATTGACAAAATGTACCGTTGGCATACAAATGGTGTCTATTCTATGCAAAACATCATATTTGTTCAACAACAAATGGTGCCCAATCGAAAAAACGCCACAAAAAGCTGGCAACTGATCTTTCTTAGGGCCTCATCAGCCTCACATTGAAGTAGGGGTATTAACCATCCCGAGCTCCTTAGTTCCCTCATATATCTAGTTGTAAGATCTTGTACCCTCTGGAAATTTGACATAGCTATTGAATATGGCACATTTACTGGCCTGCCGTTAACATATATAATCAAATAGCCATTGGTTTTCCCGTTATTGTTTGCAGAAAAGTGGTGAACTATATTTGAGGTGAAAATAAAACCATGACATTGCCGCAACTATATAAGAAGTTGATGGCGCCCAAAAAAAACTGTAATTGGTTTCAATTGAATCCCTGGCTTCTGCGAATGCTAGTCGGCAGATCCCAAAAACCATCGGACCATCGGGAAATGTGGTCTCAAATGACGCAGGCCTGTTGGTTTTTAAGTGGATTTCCGATGATCGACAAGTTATCGGTTTTCCCTTAGATCCTGCCCCACCATGGTGACGGATGTCCCCCCTTGCTTCACTGATGTTTTCAAACCCGGGCTTCAAAGACCCATTACTTGCTTTGTTTTGATTGTATCATCATGTATCGTCTATTCATGTTGCGGTTACATATTTCAGGAACTGCTGAAGAAATTGGATGAAATCAGCCTGCCCAGCTGACATCGCAGCGGCTGGTGTCATCAGTTTTTTTTTGGCTGGGATTTTTATTTGTAGGGTACCTTTTCAAAAAATTAGCCAACACATCGCCTAAAGTTCCTGAAGCATGCAAAGTATGAAAAGAAGGCCAAAGATAGACTTTCAGCCTTCTGTTAAGCCCAAAGTCCGCCAACCAACGAAATTGATCTAAATTGTTGTTTCTATTAATCAAAGGTTTGCCCGGGCTTTCAAAGAAAACAACAACATCACCCCCAAGAGACAAAACACACAAACAACGTACAAGCTACCGTGCGTATTCTTAGCATTTCACGGCATACACACAATATACACAACACACACACACAAAACATACACACAACAAACAATAACATAGCCAAAACATGGGAGTCTCGCAGCGAAAGGAAACAACAAACAGGCTCTTGATGCAACTCAGGTAAACAAAGGAATGTCAAAAAGCCAAGTGCATTACTTTACACAATGACTTGCATGCAACCGAACATAGCATGTTGGCTTCTGGATGTTTCGATCTATAAACATCTCAAACACATAGAAATATGGGAAGACGGTGACCCAACATGACACGTGATTATATTTCCCTCATGATAAGAAGATTGATAAAATAAACGGTATTCCAAGAAACAAAAGGTAATGACTATTTGACTATGTTAACATTAGGCCAATTTATAACTTAGTTCCTGAATTTATCTATTAAAGATTGTGATTTTCCATAGCTAGATGAGTTTATCATCTTTCATAGATAAATGGAAATTCATCACCATGTTTTTTTTACGATTTCTGAAAAATAATTTACAATCTTTAATACAATGCGAGGCCCCCCAGTGATGTTTGTTGGTTTAGATTCGCCCCAGTAACTAGTTCGTTATTTGCGTACTATGTTTACCATAGTGAAATTGGAATTATGTGAACCCCAACTGAACGCTATCGTTATCACGGGGGCCTCACATTGTATATATATATAGCTATATATAGCTATAGTAATTATAGTGAATTATGCAACTATAGTTCAACTATTATTACCCTCTGGTAATTTAACATATCTATTGAAAATGGCCATTTATAGTGAGTTTTCCCATTAAAAATGGTGGATTGTTCCATAGTTATGTAACAGTTTACCAGAGGGTACTGGAACTGTAGGTGATTTTCCATATTTTCAGATTGGGGTTTACCAGCCATCCCCCGCCAGATTCGCTGCTGGGACACATATGGAGCGGGTCGAGCCCCAAGCCAGAAGTCCCTGCTGGGATGGTCAGCCTGAAAGCGAAGAAGTCCCAGCTCAAACATATATATATATATATATAGATATAGACATCCATATATACATCCATACATACATGTGTATTTTTATATATATACATATAAATGTATATATATATACATAATAAAAGTTATGGGAACGTTGAATGCGTTTTGAATATGCTCGGACCAAGCAACAGTGAATTTGACCACAGAAATTCTGGGGTTGAAGCGACTAACATATCCACCCTGAGCAGTTGGTGCAGTTGTTTTCACCACTCGGGCTGAGACCATGAGCGATCACATTGTGTTCAACTACATACAATACCAGTGGCATAGATTTGTTCCAGGTTCCACAAATGTTCCTGGATCAACCGCATGTTCCTTTCCACAATCTTTGAACTGTTCCTGCTCTCATAGTCCAAGTGGAGATCATCAAGTGTCGGAATATATACGACAAACGCTTTCCCATTTCTCTTCCGGCGCTGCAAGAACATTGAATCCTAATTCAAATCATCATTCATGTGGTCTGGTGAATTAAAAAAAATACATCAAGAACAACTGTACAAATATAATACATATATATATATTGTATAAAACAAATATATATATATATACAAATACATATATGTGGGAAAATGCATTCAGGAATGATAATATCTATATCATCTATGATACACTATACCAAGTATTGTTCTCATCATCGCATATATATATTATACACATTATTACATAGTGTATCTCAATTTCAAATAACAAAACATTCTATGTCCCAAACAATGTACAACAAAACACAAATCTATATATGTGAAATACATATATAATCTACATATATAAGATACTTGATACGCACACACAAACCGAACTTAAATATTTCATTTATGATATACTGTACAATAGACTAAAAAGATGGTAACATTATGGCCCATGTTGTTGATAGTTATGACATGTCACTTAAATATTTTCTATTCCCTCTGGATCCATGGCCACTGTCTGAGAAGGTACATTTTTTTTTACCGCCGAGTCACGTCATCATACCCCGCATTGGTACTTCCCAAGAAGGCACGGCTGGATCCATAGGGGTTATTACAATTATGGCCATTTACCAGTTATAACTTGTTATTTCTATGGGATTATACATTCTATAAATTGGTTTTTGTTAGTACTTACAACTGATAAATGGCCATAACTGCAGGGGTTATTATGATAAACAATAACACGACTCGTCTTGATAGTGACTGTACCCCGCCGGTCACGACGGCACCTCATTGGCTGCCGCTGGGATCAGTTCTTCGATCACATCGATATCCTCCTCGAGGCTCTCATCGAACATACTGCCCCCATCCCACAGGCCACGGATGTCGTGAAAGTCGTTTGTTTGTCGCTTGGAAAAAAGGATGTGGCTTGGATGAAAAATGAATTTTATGTCATTTGGTGGGAAGATTGGGAAGTTGGAAGACTCGGATCTGTGCAAAGGAATATAGATATCAAATATATGATGATATGATGTGCGTTTTAACAGATCTATGGTGACATGAAGCACTCAGAAGATGATTAATTAATACTATCACCGACAACTTTCAGAAGATGTACTTGTTGTAGCTATGGCTACGGGCATGGCACTGAACTCACAGCGGCTGTTGCGCTTTCTTTTTTTGTCTTCGAGTGAGGCCATGGTCCAAAATAAGGGCGTGCCTGAGCCAAATTTTTGCGGATGCGCGACCAAACCAGTGCCTGCGCTGTGAAAAGCAACACATGACTATCCAGAATCAACATTTTTCCTTGCTGCTAACATGGTGTCTGGGTAAAGTAAAACAAGTCTCCCGGTTTTAGCCTCTGGTACTTTAACAATTTGCGAACTGGAAAATCACAATTTTTTTCATAGGTAAATGATCTATTCATGGGTCATGTACCATAGGCATCCATAGGCTAGATTCGGCTAGATCGTTCTACCCAGCAACTTGCATCGGCCCTGTTCGGATGGCTAGGCGGCTAGGCCTGAAAGAGGGTCCCTGTTTCGGTTGGGGAGATGTAAATCAGTAATCTTCCAGATTCTTCCAGCTTTGGATGGTGACCATCATACATCAATTCAACAGCTCACTGCTCACCATCCAAGTACCATCCCATCCATTGGGGATGGTGATCCTTCACCATAAGGTCGTGACTTTTTAAGGATCGTGACTTTGATTGGTAGATTTTAGAAAGTGGATGTAACATATATACATAATATATATGTAATATATATATATATAGTTAATACTGACCAACAACATGAACATAATGGATGGCAAGCTCCTTCTCAATGACCAATCTCTAGCAGCGCTTAAAACGGTCTGTTATGTCTTTCCATTACACTGATTGGTGAAGATCAAATGGAGTCCCAGTTTGCGGATGATCATCACCCCTAATCCAGCAGGTTCCGGAAGCATAGGTTTTGAACACAGCGCTGATTGGGGTAAATAGCTTGATGAAACAATTCACCAACCTAACACAAGACCATTTTCACACTGATTTCAAACGTGACTTTCTGCGATAACATCACATCTTGACCATCAGTTCAATCAGTTCAAACGCAGCTTCTAGTGATGACATTGTGACCAAATTGTTAAGTTGCTAAGTCGTTAGCTGCAGGGCCCAACATGTGTTTTGACTCAGTGCCCGAGGGTCTAGGATGCAACAAGTGTTTTGAAACTTGCCGACTAGGACTAAAACACATGTTTGGGAAATCCTTGGAAATCCAGTAAATCCAGCGGGTGTCAATCTAGACGTGCCCTTTTTTCCTACTTGTGCCACCCCTGGAGATTTGTCAGCAAAAATTTCTCCGCAATTTTTCATTGAGTTTTAAAATTCCATCAAGTTTTTACCAAGGTTGTGACATTTCATCAGGTTGTCACCAGGTTGTGAAAATTCACAACGTTTTCATCAAGTTTTCACCAGGTTTTCACGAGGCTTTTTTGAAAAGTTTTCACCAGGCTGCACTAGGTTTTCAAACAGATTTCGACCGCTTTTTTGACCAGGTTTTCACCAAGTTTTCACCAGGTTTTCACCAGGTTTTGAAAATTCACCAGGTTTTCACCGAGTTTTCACCAGGTTTTCACCAAGTCTTCACCAGGTTTTCACCAAGTTTTCACCGAGTTTTCACCAGGTTTTCACCAAGTTTTCACCATGTTTTCACCAGGTTTTCACCAAGTTTTCAGCGAGTTTTCACCAAGCTTTCACCAAGTTTTCACCAGGTTTTCACCAAGTTTTCACCAAGTTTTCACCGAGTTTTCACCAGGTTTTCACCAAGTTTTCACCATGTTTTCACCAGGTTTTCACAAGTTTTCAAGTTTTCACCAAGTTTTCACCAAGTTTTCACCAGGTTTTCACCAAGTTTTCACCGAGTTTTCACCAGTTTTCACCAAGTTTTCACCAGGTTTTCACCAAGTTTTCACCTGGTTTTGAAAATTCATCAAGTTTTCACCAGGTTTTGAAAATTCACCAAGTTTTCACCAGGTTTTCACCAGGTTTTGGTCCAATGAGATTTTCGATCCATTTTCACCATGAAAACACATAATTTTCACCAAAAAGTAGGCTCAAAACACTTCTTTTGGTGAATTTGGAACCTGTAAAACACTTCTTCGTGTTCACAACAAAGAAATCACCAGGTTTTCACCAAGTTTTGAAAATTCACCAGGTTTTCACCAAGTTTTGAAAATTCACCAGGTTTTCACCAAGTTTTGAACATTCACCAGGTTTTCACCAGGTCTGGAAATTTCACCAGGTTTTCACCAAGTTTTGAAAATTCACCTGGTTTTCACGCAGTACCTATCTCCAAAGTTCATCGGATGTTCGTCAGTTATTTTACAGTCAGCCCGGTGTTCATTAAAATATGAATTTTGAAATGTCACCAGGTTTGCGCAAGGAGCGAAAAGACCAAGCGAGCGTCAAAAATGATAACATGTGACCTGGATGTGCTTCCAAAATATCATATCATATCAATATCAAATCCCATTGAGATGCTTATACTTATACTGACAATCTCAGCTTTTCATATCCAACCAAAAATTTCTAATTAGTTATTGTACGGTGGAACTTCCTGATACCACATGGTATTCACATGTATTTACAAATCATATTGAGGTCAGTAAAGTCAGCTGCCTTCAGTGGCATGTATCCAGCATTGAACTAAACATGCAGCTGAGGGATATCTTAAACCATCTTAAACCCACTGCAGAGGCTGCAGCATCAACAAGTGTTTTTGTTCACCTAATTTTGGGCCAAAACACTTATATGTGTTTTACGACTCTTGGAGCACTCCCAAAACACTTCTTTGGTTTTGATATACCGTCTCGGTCTGGACAACCCCAACTTAGCAACTTAACAGACCAAATTCATCCAGATATAAAAATATCATAGATGGTTGGTTGCATAATATGTATATATATATATATATATATCGTGCAAAACATCCTTAGAAAATGTTTGGTTTGATCGCGTTTGATCCCTAAATTGATGCAGTAGATAGATAATTTTGTTTTCGCACCACCCCAAAAAAATAAAGAGCAAAATCCTAGTATCAACCACTTGTAGATGATTTACCCAGCTATGAGCCTTCAATATTTCTATCTTTCTTTTCTATCTCGTTGGGTGTCCAAAAATTGAAAGAATGTTAATCAGCCAAGCCAAACATGGATAGAACATTAATCCAAATTAGTTGGACACATATCATTTGGACGATATATAATCTCAATCGTATACCAATTTGTAAATAATTCATAGAAATATTAATCCCAATTTGTAAAAAAAAGAGGATAGACTATGAATCCCAATGGAAACAAAAACATCCAACTGTAACAACTCCAGTTTCATCCCCGGCCTTGGCAGGTCGACCGGGAACCTCCCAAGTGCCTAAGGCCTCCTGGGGCTCAATACCTGCGGGGCTGGTTCAACATGATTCAACCATAAGCCATAAACACATGGTGGATTTCACGTGATTTACCTATCACAAAAAAAGGTCAATAAAGATTTTCCCATAATATGTAATATATATATATATGAATTGAAGCTTGATGAAGCTTGAAACATGGTGATTTCCCACATGAGAATGATGTTGATTTCAGCCGTTGTAATTGGGTACGATAAGAAATCATATATCAGCTGAAACAGCTGGCTGAATCTCGAGATTTGTGGATAAGTTAGACAACTTTTTGTGCTTTCAGACTGTCCATAATCGTCGATGGCAAGTTGGGTTTGTCTCAAAGAAGTGTACCCAACAAACTTCAGGGAAGGACCTCTCTGAGTCATCAGTTGGTTCAAAAACCCGTCCAACTACTTCGATATCTTCAGCATAAACCCAATGGTTATCCCAGACAGTTGCCACATTGGGGGATCCCGGGATCCCTTCCTGTATTTTTCAGCTTGCATTTTGAATGCTTGCGCCACTTAAAAGAGCAAAATCTTCCGCTCACACGGGAATACATGGTTTAAATTGCCAGTTTTTCACCATGATGTGCAAACCATTTAGCTGTTTCGACATCTTCTGAAGGTCACTACACCAGGAACATATGGGGGTGACCGGGTGACTAATCCCTGTACCCCCGAAGAAATATGGCTTCCATGCAACCCTGGACCGAAGCCATGGCTTCATATCAGATTTATTCCCAAAAATCCCGGCCAAAGCACATGGCTGGGTAAACCAAGGTGAAGTTTTTTCACACAACGGCAACTGAACATGGCAATGCCAGCAAGAGCTCACTGGGAAAAGAAACACTTTTTTTCTTAATTCAATGGATTATAAGGGAAAATCTACAGGAAACCATGGATTTTCGGATTTTCGCATGAAATGCAGGGGGGTCCTATAAAAATTCCCTTCATCCAATCCATTGATTAATATGCAACGAGGTGAAAAACTCCATAAACCTCAATGGACTGGGCTTTTATATTTTTGGAGACAAAAACATATGTCTTATGTCAACAGCCTTCAATAAGTAAGATGATCAGCTTGAAGATATTCTCGTCAAAGCACCACAATGCGGGGCTCCCAATAAGTGCCGGAACTTTGGTGGATAATGTCAACCCCGGATTAATATACCATGGTTTATTAATTAGGGGGGTAATTCTCCAATAGTCATTTCATCCAGTACTTAAATGGTACCACCCCCAATTAACCAGCCGTTTGGGTTTATTAATCCAGGGTTGACATGATTAATCAATTTTATCCCATTGTATAATATGCTGTACTATATACTACATCCCATGTTGGGTTTACCATACTATGGCATCGTGTTTACCCCCCAGTATGTTTACCCCCTATTTATACCTGCAGTCAAACACGCACAGTTCTGCGCCACGCCGAGGCACGATAAATGGGCAAAAGCCGCTGAGCTAAGCGTTTTAGAAGCGCTTCCACCTACAGGTGATTTCAAGGTATTTCACTAGGCTACGGTTATAGGATTAAAATGGGGGATATATCGGTAGTTAGATGGGTTTATCAACCAATAAACTATATATATATATATACAAGTATATATGTATATCATACATGTTTTTATATGTATATATATATATATATATCAAACATGAATATATAATATATATATAATATACATATAATATATAATATGCATATGCGGATGTGTCAATGTGTCAATACTTTTTTAACCGTATTTGGCGGATTTAAACATCCAGCAAAACCAGCTATGACTTGGGGTAACATGGGGGGCCTCAAACCTGGACCTTGGAATCTTTTTTGTATGAAAAAATACCCTCATGAACTTGGACTTGGCAGCAGATTCTGGAAGTGATGGCTTTTTGATGAATTGATGGGAATTTCTGGATGTTTTTATGGATGTCCACGTGAAATGCTGAAATTCTCCACGGCGGATCCTCAGAAACCACGGGACGCTGGTGCAATGCCTGACATGTTGTGACCGGTGCCATGCCTGCGCTGTGTGATGTTCTTGCAGAAATTCCCACTTCTTCACCAACCTCCGTGGCTTGTGGGGGTGAATCGTTGTGCCAGTGATGGAAATGTTATGGTTTATAGCTCCCAGGAACTATCTACCATACCTGGTTGGTGGTATACCTACCCCTCCGAAAAATGATGGAGTTCGTCAGTTGGGATGATGACATTCCCAATATATGGAAAATCATAAAATTCCATGGTTCCAGTCACCACCAACCAGACATCCTTTTTACAGCTATTGGAGCTATGTCTGGCAACTTTCTAACGCACCATCTACCGAACATGACCAACATCATTGGCTTCGAGGCTAAATGATGATTATTCTATCTGCCACTTTGGAAAAGAGCCATTTCAGAATCCACGAAAAATGGCCGGTCGTCATTTTGGCGTCAACCATTTGCCTTTTCTGGACTAGCCAATTTTGACAAGTACCTGATGAGCAGCATACATCTATATCCAATCAACTGGCACCAGTGGGTTAGGGAGCTACACTCTGGTAATCTGACAGGGCATTCGAAAAATCCCCATATTCCCATATGTAGGGTTCAGTAAATCAACATAGATATGGAGAATCCATTTCCAATCCACCATGTGTAGACCATTTCCGATGGAAACCATGGGTTTTCATGGGTTTCCATATCAATGCGGCGTTAGTTTACCACAGGCTAGATCCATTTGTCGATGAGTATCCTTCCAGTCCTTCCAGGAATTGGTGGCTTTGATGGCCGTCTCTGACGGCAAAGGATGGACCTTACCTATGCAAGTCATACTACCCTGGGACATTCTGGAACGCAGGCCACCTCCAAAATTCATCAGAAAATACATCACTTTCTTTGACCAACTTGCATACTTTATATTACTTTATCATAGATCACGAGTAAAATCTCTGCGGCCATTGGAGGTGAAATTCGATGTTTGTGGATTTTAGCCCCCTGATTTTTGCTGGGTAAAACAAAGATACATTCCAAAATCCAAAACACATCCCAAATCAACTAGCAATTCACGCCAAATCGATGGCAATGCCTTCATATGGTGAATTCTCTCTATTCTTCATCTTAATTCCAACAGACCTCTAGAGCATACCACGTCGTGCCACTTCACGATGGTTTATATGGTTTATGAAAGGATTCCTTTCATTTGGGGTGTTGGAGGAACTTGGGGTATGGTTCAGAGCTATGTCAAAAGTAATTAAAAAATCTTAAGACACTTATAAATTGCATATTTCATGGTCATTCAATGCGAATAAGCAAACTTTTCACGGCCTATTTAAGTACAGCCTTCATTGAATACAGCCTTCATATTTCAATATTCAAGGAAATTAAGTTCTGAATTCCAAGGGGTAAATTGCTAATGGGATGTGGGTCATGAATCTTCCAATGCCTTTGATTGGGATTTAGTGGATTAATTCACAATAATCTATTCCAGTCAATTAGTTGATGTCAATTAGGAATTCTTTCATATGAGTAACCATGCATCCCACTTAGTAAATGGCTTATAGCTCCAGTTTTATATATAGCATATCCCCACTTATGTGGCTTCATTATTGCTTATGTCTGGGTTGTAAACCACTCACGTGCCCCCTCGGCGTGGCTGCCGCGGTCGCACCTCTTGGCAAAGTTGCGCTGGCTGCTGACGTCCGCTAGTTCATCCGGATCCACGTGCAGTGCCTCAGCGCTTGTCGGGTATCCCTAGCTGTTCGCGAAGTGGAAAATGTCACCATCTAAAACGGGAAATCATCGAAGTAAATGGAACATGTTCAAGAACTATGCTGGTTTACTGGAGGGTGTGTGATTTAAAACGCTTTAAACAACACAATGTGTTATTTAAGGGGGTTTTAATCACGCACCCTCCAGTAAACCAACATAGTTTACATATACTAAACAATTTGAGATAATATTCCAGACTTAGGCGAAAATAATCTTTGGGGAATGAGTTCTTTGACTTGATTTGATGATGATGATGATGATGATGAGAGAAATCTCAAATCATGACAGAGATTCGAACATGGCCAAATATGGGATATCGGATATGGGATACCCTCTGGTAAACTAACATAGCTATTGAACATTGCCATTTATAGTGAGTTTTCCCATTAAAAATTGTGATTTTCCATAGTTATGTTAGTTTACCACAGGGTAACATAGTTGTGCTAATCCTTCTCAGTCAATTGATTGTTTTTTTGTGGGAGGTGCTTGTGTCCCGTAAACTGGAAGAAGCCTTCCCCAATGCCTTGCTGACTTCACAAATGATATTATCCGGGTAATTTGTTGGCGATATCTGGGGATCATATAATGGGATTTAACCAACAGCAATCGGAATATCATGGGAATATGTAGAACCAACATAATCCGCCGACCCCAGCCTTCGCCAAGGCAGGGGCGGCGCCTGGGACCACCGCAGGTGTGGAACTTCTCCTTCTTAGCTTCCCAAGGTCAAACCCATCTCGCAGCCAACAGGCACCCCAAGGCCACATCAATGGCTTCTTATGGGCGTCCAAGCCTGCCGTTTGCCAGCCCTTAAGCTGACCCCGCTTCTTCTGGGCGGTCCAGCCTACCGTTCGCCAGGCGTTACACGCTTCAAACCCATCCGTCAGCCAACAGGCACCGAAGGCCACATCAATGGCTTCTTATGGGCGTCCAAGCCACACATCAATGGCTTCTTGTGGGTGTCCAAGCCTGCCGTTTGCCAGCCCTTAAACGCTTCGCCAGGCGTTACACGCCTCAAACCCTTCAAACACTTAAACATTCTCTTGGCATGCTTCATCACGCAGCCAACAGGCACCCCAAGGCCACATCAATGGCTTCTTATGGGCGTCCAAGCCGGCCGTTTGCCAGCCCTTAAGCGCTTAAAACCCTTGAAACGCTTAAAAACGCTTAAAACCCTTAAAAACCCTTAAAAACCCTTAAAACCCTAAAAAACCATCCATCCATCCATCCATCCATCTATCTCTCTCCCTCTCCCTACAGGACCCCCCAAATAGGGGGGGTCGGCGGCACCAGGGCGCTAGCCCATTCTATATATCATAATATGGGATAGATCTGGCTGAATTATAATGATTGACTAATCTGAAAATAGCTGAACTAATTCCATTAGGAAATTGTTACCCCTATTTACCATCATTCCAGTGAGGGAGAACAGTAAGGTCGTTATAACATTTTCCCAGATATGATGTCGCAACCAGCTATACGTAAAGAGCCGAAACGCAACCAGCCGTGTATTTTTGACCTCTGCATGAGTCTTCCCCAGGCTTCATGAAAGTTGGAGTTCCACTAGTTCCACTCTAAATCTCTGCATCCCAAAAAAAACTGTGCTCAATTTGTACCCCCCCATCTCGGTACAGTTATCACATTCAAGACTATTAGGTAGTCATATGACCCCATGGTGTAATGATGGTCTTGCATCTCTCATTGTTCCTGCTTATTACATATTGAGAAATTCCGGGTCGCAATTTTATGCAATTTTAGGATACCAATGGACCCTTAAAATGCAGGTACAAATGACACGTCTAAATTAGTTCGGGTAGATGCAGGGTCTCTCGAGTTTTTATATCTATTTGGGGGGTGCTAACTTGTGTAGTCTTGGGTATGCATACCCTACAAACAAGTCTAGCCGGGGTGCGCACCGCGGGCTAGACTTAACCCGTGCCAAAAACCAAGGTTTTGCCAAATCTCTGGTGATTTTCAGGAGGGATTCGGGAATTCCAGGATGATAAACCTGCTAGGTGGATACTCTGGCCCGGGTCAAAAATATGACCCATTTCAGCTACAATGTGAGGCCCCCCAGTGATGTGAACGTTGGTTTCCATAGTTATTGGAGTTACAAACCAACTTCGCTATCGAACGGGGGCCTCACATTGTAGCATTTTGCCTTCATTGCCTTCATGGCCTTCCTTCTCTGCTCCAACTTGGCCTTGAAGTTCTTGAAGAATCTACCATTCAGCCGAAAATTGTAGACCTTCACCCGCTGAATGATGCATCTGTCATCTGCGCATCCAATCAGCGCATCTTCGAGAACCCCCGCAACCGTCCACTCCATTCCAACGGTCATGGTCATCCCAAAACCATCATTGCGTACAACCTCCACATCAGCGCGATCCATCTTGATGGAAAAAAACGGTTCAGTCGCGAGGTGGGCTTGAACCAAGATTGAAATGGATATCATCAATCAATCAAAGCTGAATTTAAATCAAGTGCAATGACCGACAATGTTTCCAATGAATGCAAATCAAGTGCAATCAATCAATCAATCTTATTCAACTACCAATTCACCCGGCGACACAAACAACAGCTTCTCGTCTTCGCCCAGCTGTGAGGTTTCAGTAGAGCTGCCCTGAATGGATCGGAATGGACCTCTTTCGAGCTGCGAGCACACACTTCTTGATCAGAATCCCATGGAACGTATAGAGTTTATACCATTTTAGACCCAGTTTGTTATATCCTGCACGATGACTATCCACATATTTCTTGGTGAATAATCGCAGCTTCTGATAATTGTAGAAACCATTCGTTGAGTTGCTCAACTCCACTATTCTGGAAGGACCCTTTCTATTCAATGGATTGACTTAAGGTAAAGTCGGAAACCAATGGCTTAAGAATCCCTGAACTATATGGCTTTCATCTAAAATTCTATAAGAAATTCTCCCATCAACCAGTTTTTTGTCCTCCGCGAAACCACCTGCGAAACCAAGGGACAGTGGCTTGGCGAAGTCCATTCTTTTCCCAGACCACGGTGAGACCCAATGGATCAAAATTCCTCAGCGGTGGGAATGGGTGGGATGAAGGCCCCGCGGCCCCTCAAAGGGACCCTTCGTGGTTTACCAACGTAGCGGACTGGAAGTTTTCACCATTTTTTGGGGGCGAAATCCACGAACCAAAGGGCAATTTTCAATAGCAAACTGTTAGTTTACGAGAGGGTATTTGCGCTAATCTTTTTCAATCTTCCAATGTTTCTCTATATGTAGAGGTGCTTATATGTTCGATGTTTTTCGTTCACCATGTTCACCATGTTCACCATGTTCACCATGTTCACCAGGCATCGTGGATAAAGAAAGAATAAATGTCACAGCTGCAAGGTAGTACCCCATTTTGCTGGCTAGCTTGTTTTGAAAGTTATCGACTATGTGAGAAGACGGGATGACGTGGGTGTCCGCAACGTATGCCACCGTAGCAATGGAGGAATTGGTGGCCATGAAGCCTTCTTTGCCCCGGGAGACACCACGAATGGTTGGTATTGGCTTAAGGCTTAAGGAATCCCATAAATACAACGGTTGGTGGTTGACCTACCCTAGCCCTCTGAATATGGCTGAATTCTATGGTTTATGGTGGATATAACATGATATAACTATAGTATACTATAGTTGGTTGGTGGTTGACCTACCCCTCTGAACAATATGAGTTCGTCAGTTGGTCTATAACCCAAAATATGGAAAGTCAGAAAATTCATGTTCCAAACCACCAACCAGAAACACATCTTCCCTATTATAGAATCCCCAAATGCCTAGTGGATTTCCCAGTGGGAAAATCAGCCAAATCATGTTCAGCAAATGCAGGAAGATAAGATGTTGGGGCCATAGATGCAGAGTACTTCCCAGAAATTGGCTTTCCAATGATGCTGCGAGTTGAATGGGCTTACGCCAAACCTTATAACTGTGGGTCATCTGATATGACTTGAACAAAATGAGGCAGTAGCTGGATGACACTGGCACCAGTGGCTTTACCCAGAACATGGCCAACTTTAGATACCCGATACATCCCGATAGCCTGCTTTTTGTTGGCTTGTCATATCCCAATTTATGAGGATGCTGGTTACATAAGCGGTACTAGAATACCAATCCAGTCACTTTCCCCCGAGAAAACCATTGATCATGTCAACCATGAAAGATCCTGAACGCCACTAGCCCTCGAATGAAATACTGCTAAAACAACAAGTGTCCTGTGAATTCTGGCTTCAAAGAGCTCCTACAAGGTGGTGCCCCCCAGTTATAAGTTGGTTTATAAACCATAACTATAGACTATCTATAGATATATCACCTATAAACATCTATAAACCATAGTCATTGGAGTTATGTTTACCTACTTACTTAGCTATCGAACGGGGGCACCACTTTGTACCAGTACCTAAGCCATCGGGTGCCACAACGATCCGAGCCAAAGTGCAGGAGAAACCTTCGGATTCGAGGTCGACCTGAAGCCAAGCTCGTCGATTTTGCCATTGTCTTTTGCCATAAATTTCACATCTGGTTGGTGGTTGACCTACCCCTCTGAACAATATGAGTTCGTCAGTTGGGCTTATAAAATTCCCAATATATAGAAAGTCAGAAAATTCATGTTCCAAACCACCAACATGACATAGATGTGGAAGAAATGCCGGCCCATCTTGGATGGCTGAAACTCTTGGATTTATGGGATACTGTAAATCATGATAAATCATGATAAATCATGATAAATCATGATAAATCATGATAAATCATGCTAAATCAACTGGTGCAGAATTATGTAACCATCCGCTGTTTCGATGTGGAAAACCGTTGCCATAGGACAATGCGCCAAAAAAATGATGGGTTATGAGCGCTGCCAACGCCAACCCCATCATTTCCCACGTGGGGCCTTCAACGGTAGCTTAGTTGGTTTAGTTTACTTGGCAACTCAGGGTCTATTCCTAATATAGTAAAACACTATAGTTCATGGGGTTTACATAGCAACTTAGAACCGGGGGCCCAATTTATCCCAATTTGTATGGATATGGCGACATGATGCGATATGGCTGGTTGTGGATGGTTGTGGCTCATGCTGTCCAATTATAATGTCCTCCATGTCAGCAACACAGGTCTTGTGAAGGAATCGCCATTGGAATCTTCTGGAAATCCACAGACTTCAAGTCACTCAAATGGACTGCTTTTCTTCCCAAGACAGACGGGGTTTTCCTGCAAGTGTTCCCTCAAATTCTGTGAAATTGTTGCAAGTGGGACCTCAAGATCTATCGCCACAATCCGAGGCAAATGTCTTATCCCAAATTCCCACATCTGCACCAGTTATGCTATCAGCATGATCCAAATGAATGGGAAATAAAAATTCGGCATAACCCGCGCTGCCATGGCCCATATGTAGCCCTAGGCATGTAAAAACAAGGTGCTGGTTCAACCACCGATTCCAATGTTGGGTTAACTTCAATTTGATGCGAACTGCAGTTCGTTTCAAGTGCCTCAAACGATCTGAACCCCCGATGTTCGACCGAGCCCACCGGGCACCTGTTTTCAAATGGCTTTGTTTGGGCCTGCGACAACATGGGCCCCACCGCGACAACATCCCCGTGGCCAACCAATCAACCTGTCATGGATAAGGAGGTTCTTTTAGTGCAAACCCAAACTTGAAATTTGGCGCCATTGGGAATTGGAACCATCCCACATACAGGTTTTCCGGTATACGACAAGTATCTTGCACCAAAAAACTGGACCGATCGCCCATCAACACTTGTCCTCACTACAACTATGCATACGTGGTGTGGTCATAGTGAGGTCGACATTCTCCAGATCCACCATGATCCACCCAGAAAACACTTAAAAAACAACACCTAGAAATGATGAAGACAAACATCTATGACATTCTGGCAACAATTCATAAACCTTTCTGGTCGGTGTAGCACATCCCAGAACTCTTATTTGGAAAGTCTGCATCATCTCATTTAGATATATTTAGTTCGTTTAAAAAAAGGCTGAAAAAACACCTTTTGCAAAATCAACTCACCTGCTGTGATGTTTCTATTCCTATGTAGATGGCAACTCATCAGATTGGATCCGTGAGACCCATCAGATCCATCAGATTGGTCCACTGGTCTTTGGTTGGCAAATTCGCATGTTAGGCTTGTAAAGAAACAATGAATCCAACCAGCGATGCAATGGGTGTTTAAGCCAAAACAAAACTCTATGGAGAAAACAATTGATGTCTTGATTGATTACGAATTCAAAAGTGTGGACAACAAAATATGCATGATTTTATCCTATTATTTCAATGAACACATGAAAATACTACGACTGACATTATATACCTATTGGTTTGGCCTTACTATGTTTCCTCTCAGTCCAAAAAAAGTTTCAACACATTTTACTGTAAGTCCAAGAAGTATATTTTCCATTGAACATATCCTCCAAAAAATATGCTAATTGTACATCTACTTCTTTGAAACCATCCTATAAACCGTTTAACATATACTTGAGTTTTCAACATATGTAAACATATTAAGTTTCGTAAGTATCTGTTATAAACATTTATAAACTGTTTAATTGTAGCATTAAACCATAAGATGTTTTGCCCACCGCAAGACATCCCGAAACTCTGGTCCACTGCCAATGGCGCCTCGCGGCTGGCGCCTGAATTTCAGTCGCCCAGCGACGACGATTAGGGACTTTTTGAGCAAACGAAATGGTGATTTCACAAAAACAAAAACAGGTGGATTTCTTTGGATTTCTATGGATTTCTCTGATTTCTATGGATTTCTCTGATTTCTTTGGATTCTTCCCTGAGTCTCCAAAACTAGTAAATTTAGGTGCCCAAAAATTTACCTAAATTTTGGGGTTTACTAACGTGGATTTACGTAAATTTTTACTAATGTTAGTAAAAATTTACTTACGTTAGTAAATTTTACTAACGTAAGTAAATGCACTTTTGATGCACTTTTGATGCACTTTTGCATTTTTGATGCACTTTTGATGCACTTTTGATGCACTTTCGATGCACTTTTGATGCACTTTCGATGCACTTTTGATGCACTTTTGATGCTTTTTGACAAATGCTCCAAAAAAACATGCCCTATTGATGCACTTTTTCAATTTTCACAAAATTTACTAACATCAAGAAAATTAGCTAAAAATTTACGTAAATTCTTCACTTTTAGTAAATTTACTAAATTAGTAAATTTACTAGTTTTGGAGACTCAGGGTTACGCAAGAAACACAACTGGGATTTTACATATTTAATGGTTGACTCGACCAGCGTGTGTGTTCGTTCGTTGGTTGAGACTTGGGCACCAAGTTAGTGTGGAGATTTCACCTAAAATTTGGACGCATGGGTTCAACGGCCGCAAGAACTATCTGCAGTTATGGCCATTTACCAGTTATAACTGAAAATTTCTATGGGATTATATACATTCTATTATAAATGTGGTTTTGTTAGTACTTATAACTGATAAATGACCATAACTCTGGTAAACTGTTACATAACGAACTGGAAAGATCCACCATTTTATGGCTGAATTCTATGGTTTATGGATGTTTATGGTGGATATAACATGATATAACTATAATATCTGGTTGTGGTTTTATAACCATCTTGAAAAATATGAGTTCGTCAATGGGAAGGATGACATCCCATATATGTTGGGATTATATTGTTCCCAATAGATGGAAAAATAAAAAATGTTCCAAACCACCAACCAGATATACAAATCAGCAACAGAAGTGGGTTTCAAACCCTTCGACATTAGGAATTTCTCACACGGTATCCTTTCCAACGGGGATCCTCAGAATTCCAGTTCCAGTTGGTGCACTTGAGACGCATGAACTCTGGAATGATTATTCGTCTGGCGTTGACATTAGAAAGACGGATTATCTAGATTGACGATCAACAATAGAGAAAGAAAAGCACCATTGGCCAGACTTGGTACATAAAATTTCTCGAAGGCCACTGGCTTGAATACCAAGTTATATATTCAGAATAGCCATGATTTGGTGTTCGGCTTGAGAATTCCTGGCCTTGGGATCCCATCATCTTGGTCCCCATGATTCATGCATCAATAAGCTGTCATGGTTGTGGGACACAATCCTGCTGCACTGGTTGTGAAAAATGTTTGAGGCCACAAATTGTTGAATAAATTTGAATAATGTCTTCGCAGCCACAGCGATTTTGTAGGTGTCCACATTTTAAGGCTATGTTCAGTGTAAATGCAAGTATACATAATAAGTATACCATACATCACTGATCATGGATAAGAATGGATAAGAATGGATAAGATACTTCTCCACATTCTCAGTACACTCTGGTAAACATACAAAAAACATCACCATTTTTCATGGGAAAATTCACTATGTCCACCATCAATGGTGAGGATTTCCCATGGATTTCCTGGTTTCCCCATCGAAAAATCCGCGACTTTCCAGTCAGCTTCCAGGTCAAGTTGCTGCATCTCGCGGATCCC